TCAACAAATTTAAGTTACCCTGGCATAGAAACCTTTTCTCCACAGCAATTATTCTTGGGATCTAAAAGAGTGAGAAGAGGGCTGACAGCTTTCCAAAGGACTTTCTGGTATTATAGCACTTCTGTGCTACGTTTGCGGAGATTTGTCCCCTGCTATTCGTATTTCTGTTACTCACTGCTATCAAATAGGTGCTGGGTGTGATAACAGTTCACTAAGTATTAGTTAAATTCAAGGAATTGAATTCAAGGAATTCACCTTTGCTTCTCAACTACCTGGCTTTTTAGAACGCTGAACTAAGTCAACTTGGCATACAGCTAATCTACTTTATTTTTAATTATATTTGCTGCCTCACAATCTATTAGGAACACACTTTATTTTTGACTGAGTTAACTTTTACCAGAGGTTGAGCTGGTTTTAGACCAAGGAAGTGAGCAAGAGCAGAGGCTACATGAGCTGGGCACACTGCGTTGGGCTCTCCCCATCTACACACGGGATCACAGCACTAGAGGCAGCCTGACTCCTTGAAAGCCAGCAGCTCTCCACCTGCTGCTCCATTTGACAGGGCTACAGGCTCAGGAAATAGCCCATTGACTAACACTGGTTACTCTGCTCCCAGTGATCAGTTCAGCCAGCCAAGTCAGCAGTGCCATAATAGCAATGTTTTTTCTTCTTGCAAGTGACAAGTCAAAGAGAAAGCAGAGAAGACAAAAGGTACTCCAAAACAGGTGTGAGGAAAGCCACACAGAGAAACAAAAGGGTGTAGAGTACATTTTGCAGAAAGCAGAAACTCCCACATCCATTAGGACTCGTTGTCAAAGCAACAAGTGCTCCTGGCAGATGACAGGGAGAGAAAAAAATTAAAAAAAAATTTAAGAAGTGAAAAGAAAGAAAAACATTTAAAGAACAGAAGCCATGTAAAAAAACAAAGAGTCAGGAATGGAGGCTATTTGCCTTCCTAATCTGCAGAAAAGTGAAGGCACAAGACAAGGGAATGGCAAATGGCAAGGGCTGCTGGGGAATTCTGCTCCTGACAGAGCTCCAGAAGGGGTTCTCCAGGTCAGACAGCTAGCTGCCCTTCCCCAGGAGCTTGCAGACAACCCAACAGGGAGAAAGGACTGTCACTGGAGTGCCTACAACTGGCTACCACTACTGACAAGATGCTGCACCTGCAAAGCACGTTCTGATGGAAGCCACCTCAAATTTGTAATATGAACAGTTTAGAATTTCTCTTGAATCCAGGTAAAATAAATAAGTTAAATAATTGATCACCTTAGCATGTCTCATTACTCACTTTATTAAAAAAAAAAAAATCATTATAAACCCTAATGTTTACAAGCTTGCACATGCAACAGCTTTCACTCCATACTTATTTGAGGACAAGAAGTTTCACCTGAAATGTCACTCCAGCTCAGAGCCCCAGACACTAACCATGGGAACACTGGTACACCCTACATAATAGCAACACGACAGGAGAAAACTTGCAGCTATGTGGATATATGAAGGACGGAAGAGGGTGCCATTCTAGTGCCAATAGTTTCTAGCTAGTTTAGTTTTCTAAATGCATTGCCATTCAAAGTCAGAAATACAACCATTGGCAACAAAGGAAAAAGAGTTTATAAAAGCATGCCTCTCCACATTATCAACAGCCTGAAAGGACATTATTTCTTACAATTTCAAATGATGAACTGCCTTCCACAACGGAAAGCTAAAAGTGCCAGGGACTCTTTTTCTTGCTCAGCAGATACAAACTTCTTTTTTTTCCACCTTCTGACTCCAATGTATTAACAGTTTGTCCCCCTGCCCCACGACTACATCTGACACTACAGTCCTGACCTATATCACGAGTTGAAAAGTGCCAGTCAGACTCCAAGATAAGCTTGTCAATAGAGAAATGCAGACATTCTTCCCTACCTGCTTGTGAACGTCAGCTGTTTGTGTGGAAGCAGTCCCTTGAAAAGCCTTTACTAAAGGAGAAAGGAAAAGAGAGATACAGAGGGCAATTCAAACAAACAAACAAAAAAAATGAAAAAAAACCACCCAAAACAAAACCAAAAACGAGGAGGGGAACCTCACAAAGACTGCAACCAGGAGAAAAAAAAAAAAATACACAAAAACACAACCTCTCCCCATCAGGTCCTCCCAACAACCTTCATTATCAGCGGTTCATTGTCAATCAATTAGCCAAGGCAGCGGGGGTCTGTAAGAAGGGGGGTAGCCTGAGAGACAATGGTCTGCCCTGTTGTATTACTATTTAATCACTTTTCCTAAATAAATAAAGCAGCCCTGAGGTGCTGTCATGTCAAGGGAATTTATCACAAAAAAAACCCTTCATTTTTCATTGGTCATTACTTTTCCTTCCCTCCCACCCCTGCAGGACTTAGAGAGGGTTATTACTGTAGCCTTAAGTTCCATCTTTGTATTGCTTGCCTTTGATTCCCACTCGGACCTTGCCACTTTCTGGCACTAATTTGTCAGGCCGAACAAAGGAGGGATTTGTACCTCCTGTAAGGTCTCAATTAGGAAAGGCTTCTGCTGTATTATGTGCCATTGGGACAGGACACAAAGACGGTAATTACAGGAATTTGCACTAAATGGCTGAAGAATTCACAGCAAAACTTTTCTTTCTCCCCCTCCTTATCCTTTTCCAAGCTTACCCCTCCCTGCAGCCCCGGGGAAAACTGCTCTCAATGCCTGCAAGATGTAATTACCAACAGCAGGCCCCTCACTTTAAACAGCAGCCCGCTGCAGGGAACAGCACAAACTGCCTGCAGGAAGCAAGGTATAAGGAGGGAGCCTTAGCGTCTCCAAAGTCTCCTCAGCACAACTTTTCTGAGCCAAACAAGATTTCTCAGTTTCTCTCAATTATAATTAAAATAATTCGTTTCTTTGTGCTATGTTAACAGCCAGAAGTACCAGCTGACTTACACAAACCAGCTCGGAGAGTCTCAGGGCAAAGGGTATGCTCCCACAGTAAATGCTATGTACCCAAGGATGAGGGGGGATACAGATAGTCCCAGCAGTATCATCCAAAATCCGGGAGGCAGCAATGCTTCTTACAGGCTCTTCACAATTCAAACTTCTCTGAGCAAGACTGCAGACTGAAAGGAGCCACAGGAGCACTGGGGAAGTCTCACACGTATCAGGAAAAGACACAGTGTCACTGCCACTGTCAGAATACTACTTGTGGGGAACACAAATGAGTTCAGACTAAGTGTCCCATGTTTGGTAGAGGAAATCCATTCCTTCCCACTCAAGAATCTCTTCCCATACAACATAATGCAACACTAAAATCTATCTCACATTGCAGACACACATTTTGTTGCCATTACAGGAGCTGATCCTGCTGGAAACACCACCTTGAAATTCTCCTGGATCTCAGCCAGAGGATGAAGCAAAATTAGAAGATATTCCTCCACCAAGCTTGAAACAAAAAGAAATACAAAGAAAGGAATAGAGCTTGAATACAATGTGGGATGCTATCTTAAAATGAGACTATTAATTCTTCTGACTTCTTGACTTTCACAAGGTCTGTCTGCTAGGTACCATGCCAGGTCGACTCCATCTTGGAGATACCTGTTTGACTACGCCCAGAGTCTTCTGACAGCTGCCATTCTCACAGCTTCCTTAAAGGTAAGATATCTCTGCTGCCCCTGTTTTAGAGGGGGCAGATGTTTGCTTACATTCTTAGGTACCCAATGACATGCAGTTAATCAGAGCTGTTGTGGTTCTCGGGCACCTTCAATTGAGTTTGGCACCTAATTAGTCCCAGAAAAACAAGACATGAAGTTAGAGTTCATAGCCAAGAACAGAACTGAATTCAAGCAGAAACCCCAACAACGTGACCAAACTAATAACTGCCACGAGACAAACCTTTATGATACTCCAGCAACCAAAGTGTCATGCACCATGGAGAGGTGAGCAGGAGGCATATCTGTAGGCAATCACCACAGAGAGAGAAAGCCAGCTTCATCTACACCCAGCTCTGCAGGCAACAAGTATTTCTGGGGGCTCAGGTCTCCTCCGGCAGGGATTCAGGCCAGCCAGCTGCCATGCACAGGCCCAAGAAAGCCACATATGGTTCTAGAGCAACAGGAGACCCTCAAACCAGACAGCTCCCCATCCCAGGGGGAATGCAGCTCCTAGCAGCTTCCACAGCAAATGACAAAAACCCACTGAAAAGCTGCTATTGATGCAGCTGGCAATTTTAAGTGAACATAACTAAAGCCAGCCTACAAACCACAATTTTGGCACAAGGTTCCAAATTTGCTCCACAATGCTGCCTTTACTGAAGTAAAAAAAACAATGAAATGCATTCATACGGGTCCCCTCTATTTTCACCTCATTCCCAATCAGGATGAAAAATCACACTCCTGCCTAGGACTAGAGTCACATTTCAAATGAACCGAGATTCACAATTAGATGCAGAACCTGAAGGTCATGTTTTCATCTCTGCTTCAAGGGAAGTGAAGAGCAGATAACCTCAGTGCTAGAACATGTGTCACCAAACAATGGTATGTCAGGGAAACATAACACATGGTTTTAAAGAATCTCCTTAGAAAGCTCAATACAAAGTGAGTTCCAAAAACAACTTTGAGGAGAATTATTAATAAAAAGACACAAGTCCTTGATGTTGGAAACCAGCCTTGTAGCCAGAATTCAGGTTCTTTTGATTCTAGACCACTGTCCACTGTCCTTTGAAAACAGCTCATCTGCCTAGTAAGGAAGCCCTGACCCATGTAGCATATGCTATGTGTGCACAATCTAATGCTTCAGAACTGTGCATCAAATGCTGGAGAGTCCTTGCATATCTTGTAGGTTTTTCTCCACATTTTCTCCACAGAGAGCAAAGAAAGATTAATAGATCAAAGTGCCCATGACTGTAGTGAGAGGCAGAAAGCTCTCTAAAATGCTGCTAAAACAAATGTGAGCTCTTCCAGGTGATATTTTGTTTGTTTCTGCAGAGGAGGAATGGGTGCAGAAACTGCTGTCTAGTTGCTTACCTGCACACTTGAAGCTCTGAACTGTGAGCCCTCTTTCTAGAGACAGCGTAGTCAGGATGCTGAGGAAGCTGGTTGTCACAGACTGGCGCTTGCTCTTCCTGAAATCATTTCCAAAGGGTCGATCTCCAGGTTTGTTTCGAAGCGTGACCTGTGGGTTCTGACCTAGACTTCTAGTGGCATTGGCTGCTGTTTTCAGTGCTTCCATCCACTCCTGAGCCCTCTGACGGGTCTCTGCACGTAGGCGAAGGACATCTTGAGGAAAAATTACCTGAAAGCAAGAGTCACAGCCATCTTGAGTATCTGTCTGAACCGACAGGCAAACATCAACATTGTAGCTCAGCAGAGGGTCTTCATCAAGCCTACCAGGTTGAAATGCCATTAAATAAGACCTATTTAAGACAAAAGTAAATGCCTTCCAGTTATTTTGGACAGTTAACCTATAAAGAGTCCCCGATTTGAGAATATTTTGGTATTCTTTAGTATTTTCAGTCAAATTCATAGACAGCAAAAGTTCCATGGGCTTCTCTACCAATCCGTTAGTTTGAGAATGGTCACTGCTATTGTCAGGCTCTGGCACATTCTCCACTTGCTCTGGCTGTCTTGTGAAAGCAGGCACAGAAGCACGCATCACTTCCCAGAGCTTCCGCCCCCAGTCCAAAGCTTCCCATGATGACTCTGCCTTCAGCTGCAGCTGAGAGTTTTCTGACAGGACAACCTCCACCACCTTGGCTTCAATGCTACCAGTAACAGTGACCCTTTGAAAATGCACAAGCGGGAACATGGTGGGAAGAGTCTGGTTGCCACTGCTGTCCAGGCAATACAGGTACAGTTTGGATGGGGAGAGCTCAGCATAACAGGTTTGCCAGTAGCTGTCATTGTCTCTTCTAATTTCTAAGTATCCCTTCTTCAGAATATTTGGGAACGTAGGCTTGTGTTCTAGAAGAAACAAAATGAGAACATTAATTCATTTTAAATAACATCTCACTTTGCTCAGTCATACTGGCTTACACTTTACTACTGATCAGGCACAATGCATTCAGAGGCTAAGACCATGGAAATAGCCTTTATCCAATATGCTATGATTATAAAACACAATCTTACTCAGAGATGCCAAAGCACTTTACAGAGAGGAGCAGGGAAACAGGGAAAAAGAAATCAAGCAATTTCTCGGCAATAATCCAGCAGAAGTGACAGAACAACGAAACAGTGCAAGCCTCCCAGAACCTAGTCCAGAAGAGTACAGTATTGTAAGGTGAACATACAAGTGGCAATGGCAACACAAAGATGCTAAGCACAGATGATGTCATCTACGTATACTTCACAGTGAATATACCACCAAATTTGATATTTGGCCCACCAGGTCATATGTTAGACTTGGACTGAACTCAAGTGCACTCTCACTTCCTCTCTGAAGAAGACAGAGGAATGAAAAAAAGGAAAAAGCTTGTGAGAAGTAAAGGCAAGGAGATTGCTTGCCAGTTACCATCACCAGCAGCTATTACTTAGTGAAAACTAGTTTAATTTACAGCGAACTGAAATACATTTGGACAGAAAAAAAAAAAAAAAAAAAGACGACGACGACAAAACAGCGCCTTGCTGCCCATCTTAATGGGCTCATGCCCAGGGGTCAAACTTGCCCAGCGAAGGACCTCCAGTCCCCCCGCCGTTCCCTCAGCAGCCCCGCAGGCGCCGCCCGCCTCGTGGAGCTGCACAGCTGCGCTACCGTTAGAGCCGTTGGAACCGGCCGCGCCCAGCAGGGGGCAGCCCGCACCTGCGCCAGCTGAGCCGTGCCCCACCGCAGGCGCTGCCAGCAGGTGCGAGCACTCCTTCCTCCTGGGATGGACGTGCCCATCTTTGCTGGTACCGGGGTAAATCCCAGTGGAGTTCGCTGCCACGCCCTAATGGCGAGTTTAACATCTGGCACGGCACAACGCAGCCGTGAGGAGCAAAGCGTTGCCCTGTTGGACTCTACCCTTCCTGTGATGGGACCTGCGATGGCTTTTGGCTCACAAGAGTCGGGAACTGCAGTAACACAGTTGCTCTTTCACCAGCAGTTCCTGCCCTTGGCCCAGAGCCTTTCAGAGGGATGGGGTAGGCAGCTGGAGGCAGGAAACATTTCCAGCATCACCACTGAACCAGCTACTGCTCGGGTCAACAGCCCACACTCTATCAAGTGTAAAACATGAGCTCCACTGACCACGCCTAGGATGCCTCCAACGCAGAGCAAAGTACCTGGGTTTGACAGAGCTTGGAAGCAAAGAGCTCAGGATGCGGCTGTGTGTACAGTCCCTCATCCCCACCAGGCTTCCTAGGAGGGCTGGCTGGACTGCTCTCAATGATGCCCGTCGAAAAGCGTTTACAGGATTAAGTAGACAAGTTTCAGTCAACCTTAATCAATATCCATGAGAATTAATTGTTTTGGGATACTTAATGTGTGTATGCAAACCTGAGATAGGCAGTTAAAAGTGAGGGGAAAATGCTACCTCCCATCCACACAAACAAAATGGATGCTTAAGTTTTGCTTTGCCAACCCGGCCTCAGCTTCCCCATGTAGCCCATATATAGAGAACGGAGACTGCCCTTAACACCATGCTCAAAAAAGCACTCTTCAACCTATCTGGAAAGACTTTCTGCATATATATATTTTTTGTTTAGATATTTATATATATATAAAATATAAAAATCATAGCAATTGAAAAATCATTGTTTTGGCAGTAGGTATAAAAAGCTGAAAATAAATAAACAAAACTTACATTGCAGACAAATAGGCTACCCAAAAATATCTCAACTAAATGTGAAAACTGAAAGCCCAATCTAAAACTTACAACGGTAGAGAAAAAGCACGCTCTCATAATCCCAAACGGATACACACATGTGCATACACACACTAACAGAGAACCAATTTTGTTCACCATCCATCTCTGGCCCTGACATTCATTAGTATTTCTGCGCTAACTCAAAAGCCATTAATTTATCTGAAACCCACACTAATCCCTTTGTAGTGCAGATAATGGGCATCCATTCTAGAGTCATCTTCCCTTTCTATTAATCCAATCAGGGAGGCAGCACTTCTGCAGCTCCAACTGCAATCTCTCTCGCTTCCATCAAGTACAGATGACAGTTCAAGCTTCTCCATAATAAGACAACTCATAACCTTCCCCCAGCCACCCCTCCTTCATCTGCACACACGTTTGCTCATCTTTTGTTGAGTTACAGAAAAGCTATCTCTCCCTCTCTGCCATTCACAGAAGCACTCCCTCCTCCCTTCTTCACCCCACTCCCTCCTTCAAGCTCAGCTCCACTCTAAATGAGACAAAACCAGCAGCCAACTTGATTAACATTCAAATGTATCATATTGTTTAGGCCAGGGCAGTAGACGCTGACGGAGATGTGCTGAATCCACACACACATCCCTTACAGCCCTCTGCTCCCAGATCTCCTCCACATGCAGTGTGCCAGACAATGCCTTTCCACTCAGAGAGAAAATGCTCCCACCTCTCCATCTGCCTTCAAAACAGAAACTAATCCACTGCAGCTCTTCCTCTTTACAGAAACAAGGAGAATAAACTGAGGAAGTATTAAAAAAAAGTGGAAGTAGTAACAGTAAATGGCCCGTGCCTGGACCATTAGGAGTTACAGTTTCAAGTGATGAGGAGGAAGGAGACAGAAGGAAGCAGAGAAACTCAGCAACTAAGGACAGGACAATATGCTCTTCAGCATCTTTCCTCTCCTCTGGGGAGAGTTAGGCACCCTGCACTCAGCACACACCTACCACTTTCCATGCTTGGTGATAGGAGAGGGAACGCAAAGGTTGTCTCAGCATATCCAGGAGATGCCATGTTCCTCAACAACTGACATTCTTGTGTCCCAGAAAAACATGCCCTGCTCTGCACCACAGAAGCATTTCTGATTTCAGCAATACCAAGTAACTTGGAAATGTTTCATTTCTGAATGACTTGCCTTTTGAGGCGGTATTCCTGTCTGGATTTTCTGGTTCTCAGAGACACGAACAAATCACAGAGCTTTTGTCAATAGTCCTCACCTCAAATTTGTGTAGAATTCAGCAGATGCCTTTCTGACCTGAAATGCTCTCTCAGATCACGATGGATTGCTGTCCCACAGGCTCCCGAGTTGCGAGAGACAGACATGTGGTCAGAGAGTATAGCTGCAGAACCCTGTGGAAGTCACCTTAAACACAAAAACAGTTTTTCTCCAACCATTTCCCAATTTAAGTAGTTTTGGCATGGCAATCTCAACCAGAGATATGAGCTAGAAAATGCTGGGTCCTACTCCCAGCTCTGCCACTAACTCTGTAAGTCAAGTTGGCCAACTCATTTGCTTGTGCTTTTTGTTTACCTCCACTTTGCACAGTGCTTTCTGTACACTTTCCTGTATGCCGTATGTTTTTAATCACACTGTTCTCAAGGCTCTTGGGAAGCCCTCCGACAGAACACCCTCACGCTGCTGCTGCCAGAACAAATTAGACACGAGTTCTTCCTTAAGTCAGCAGAACTAGTGACTTGCTTGGGGCTTGCAGGATTAGGAACTAACTGTCCCTCAGCTGGCATGACTAAGATCTGTGATGCCCACTGCCCTCCCACTTAAAACCACCATCTTTTCTTCCCATCCATTTTCCACCTGGCTCTGTAGGTGCTTCTTTTGCAGGCAAAAGAAGTGAGAAAAATCAAACGAAAATGCATTTGCTGATCCTTGTATAAATTCACTCAATTCTACTTCAAAAAGAAGGAAGAAAGAGTATAAAATGACTGACAAAACTATGAAAACAGAGTCATTGGTTCACACTGCCAGTGACCACTAACACCACTAAGGGAAAAGTCTTACATACTGTAATAGCAACAAATGTGAAAATTCAGTTATGATAGTCATCACAACAACATCACTGGAAGCAATCAGCACTACCCCCAGGAGATGAAAAACTATTAAGATTTATGGAGTGCTGTAACTCCATAGGACATAACCCTCCCAACCTAACTCGCTGGTGCCTTTTACTGTAATCCTCCTAGATTATCAGTTTCTTTACGTGACCCCCTCCCATAGCCTCCAGTGGACCTGCTCTCCCAAGGCCCCACAGGCAGGGGAGCAGACAGGGCACTGCTGCTGCTCTGTCAGCCCCTGTAGCCCCTTCAGCTCAGAGGATGCCCAATGAGAAACCAGAACTGAGCCAGAAGGGGGCAAGTGCAGCACTCCCCAAATCAGACAGAGCAGTTAGAGGGGAAGTCTGATCTAGCAGATGAGATGATCCAGATTACACTTCTGTCTGATCTTAGGCAAAACACCTCATCCCATCCCTCTGTGTCTCTGCTCAGTCTTGCTGCCTTTACTGCATGGTTTGTTTAAGCTGTAACCTCTTGGGAAAAGGGGCTGTCCCTTGCTAAATGCAGACAGCCCTTAGCACCTGGGGACCCCAGCCCAGTGGAGGGCATACGACTCATACTGGATTTCAAACAATTTTGATACCTCAAATCTTGACAGGCTCCAAATCTCTGCAAGCACAGCTTTCCCTTGCCTACCTTTTAATGCTGAAAATAGCCTTCCGAGGGCACTGGATGCTCCAACTGGCTGAATGCTTTCTGGGATTATTTCCAACTAGTCTGAGGCTTCCTGCTCTTCACAGAGGAAGGTGCTAAGTGTTGTTTCCACACATCTGCCTTTTGGATGGCTGCACTACTGTGTTCTACACAATGCTACACAGCTATAACCCTCTACCATCCTTGTGGCAATTGGTCCGCTCTAACTGTGCAACCTCTACTTACTGCTGACAAAAGACAGTGCTAATGGAGTGTTTTTGCAAAACCACAAATAATAATTAGACTTTACAAATCTCCCTAGTAGACCAGAAGGAGCTGGGCTTCACCTGGCCATCAGCAGTGTGCCAGTGTGAGGTCTTCACATCATACCCTCAGCATTTCACATCGCTCAAGATAAGATCTCTGGCCACTCCCACTCTGCAGCAGCTCCCTTACTTAGCACAACCTCTCCACTTTCTGTCCAGCTGTCTTTGAGGCTCCATCCCGAGCAGGACAACAGTGGCAACTGATGGCTCTGCCATCTCCTGCTCTGCGACCCACTGCCAGGAACCAACTCAGTGCAGCAATACGTACTACTAAATGCTGCAAGAGCTAGCAACGTTGGCACAGAGACAATGCCAGCCACTGCTGCTGCTGAAGGCAAGGATATCTGGCAAACAAAGATTCCTCTATTTTTCAAGCAGATTAAGTAATTTTCTAACAAAGCTGAAGAGAGATGAATTAGGATTGGGATTTTGTTTTAATTTCAATGACTCCCATTTTCCTGTCAATTTGCATTAAAAAGTTAAGAATTGCATTTCAGGAAGAAATTCCGCTTCTGATCAAAGAACAATTTGAGTGTCAAATTCCCAAAGTCAAAGAGGATAGTCGAAGGCTCCAAGGAGCTCTCAGTTATGACATGATTTTGCAACTCAAAGCAGCCAGACCCTGCCGGTCTTATGACCGTGATTTCAGCAGCCTCTGGCTGTAATTTTTATGCACTTGCATAAAAATGTTTACAGACATAACCTAAACAGTATCTTTCCCCAGCAGATGACACTTGCTGATTTCTGGTATAGACTCCCTACTATCACCACCAAGTTGTATCACACTTGACAGCCATGTCAAATATCAGCAAGATATAAATCATAAATAACTCCTTTGCTTAAGGATTAACCTACTCTCAACTGAACTCAGATTGCAAGTGTTGCTGAAAATTTGTAGGCCCAGGAGCCTGCTTGCTCTACTCACTTCCGTGAATGACATTAACACCACAATGATGCGCTTATGTCCTTCTTTCACAAGCAATCAATTTAGGCAAAGAAGAAAACCCTCACAACTTCCCTCACCAATTCACATGTGCTTCAGCAGTATCCCTTCAATCTGCTCCTTACCCAGCTACTGAGTACTACATGCATGGCAGTGTTTGATTAAGGTGGAATTGAGACTGCTTTATGCCACATAAGGTCAGTGTAGTAGTAGAAAAATGAAATCCCTCAAGTCAACGTGATGCCTGAAGTAGGATAAAGCGGCTTTGTAAAACTCAAAGATCAGTAGCAATCCTCAGTCTGCGAACCACTATTGTGCTGCTCATGAACAGAAATTTAGATATATTTTTCCTCCTCAAAAATATAGAGAAGTTTGCCAGTGTAACACGATGGAAAGTGCAGCAATGACAGCAGAGCAGCAAGGTCTCAGGCTGCAGCAAGTGAGGGTTTGCTCAAGTACAAAGCTGGGGGCACCAAAAAAAAGGAAACAAGCTGCTTACCTTCTGAAGGCATCAGGTACACAGGGATCACCAGCAAGATACCCTCACCTCTACTACCAACCCTTAAATGAGGTCTGGGAAGGGACGGATGCTGGCTTGACCCCTTCCAGTCACTCAGGTACATGGCATTGCATTGCATGCACCTGAGCTCCCCTGGGTTGGCCCTGCCTTCCTACCATGTGCTCAAACACTGTTTCAAGCAGTGACTTAGCATTTCCACTACATGTCAGATATCCAAGAGTTGCATGAAGTTGGGAACCACACCTCTTTTGAAATATTCTCTGTACTACTCCTGAAGATATGACCAGACCTTTGCCATGTTATAAATGGTGGCTAGGTTCCCAGACAGTTAAAAAGATGCAAAGAAAGGGAAACAATGTAAGTCAGAGAGGCAGAATGAGAGAGAGGCAGGTGAAAAATCAGTGGACTTTGGTCTTGTTAGCCATTTTAAGGCAATCATTTTCTTCAACATGACTGTTTTGCCATGTTGCAGCACTGCAACCAAACCATAGATGCAGCATCCTGACACAGTAGTGCCAAAACCAGGGGGGCCGTCTGAGTACCCACCTGCACAGCCTGCTGGCAAGGGGCACCAGGCCATCAGTTCTCTGCAGCTGGGACACTTTCAGCACACAGATGTTCCTCCACTCAGTGAAAGCTCTTCAGTGCCCCATGCTCATAGGCATGGCAGGCAAAATAAGCAGCTACCAGGGAAAAACATTATAGCACTCACACTCCTAGGACTGGTTGTGTTTGAATGAAAACATCCACATGACTGTCAAAGATGACTACTCATGCACTGTGTTTTAATGACCTAAGCAATCTTCCTCGAGATGCTACAGAAGCAGTATTCTCTTTCTGTTTGCCAGGACACATGCCCAGAAATACAAAAGCCTGCCTTGAATTTGCTTGCAACTTCCTTCTTTTCTAGCTCCACTTACTGTTTAACACTGCTCTGCAGTGCTCATTTCTGGTACACTAGCTGCGTTGTCAGCAGGCCTGAGAAGATACAACCCCAGAAGGCACAGCTTCTTTCAGAGCTTTTTCCTTCACAGAACCTGGAGTGGATCCAGTTTCATTTTATTTGTATTATGAGAAAGTAAGCAGCAGGAACAGATAAGCTCAGAGTAATAAATATAATATGAAGATGATGAAAAAATAATAATTGTGATTGTGAAGAGCTAATCTGTGCTGCAACTTGGCCAGCGTCGGAGGACGGGGAGACCTCTGCAGGCTCCAGAGGGAAGTCCTTCATTGCCACGGGGACTAATAGCAGCAGCTGCAAGCTGCTCTCCGTACCTCATATGCATTGGTTTAATCTACAAAGACCCGGAGAAGGATGCCTCCATGACTTCTTCCACCACCCCAGCAGCTTTCAGCCAACCTGCATATATATTTTTTGTCTGTTGTGGAGTACAGTTACCAGTCCCAGGTACACATTCCTGCAACACTGACTTTCTTGGTTTTGCTTTTCTGTTTTAAGCTCAGCTCAAAGTAGCAGCAAACTCTAAGGTAGGCTCTCCAATAAATACAAAGGGAAGAAATACCACAGCTACCATCTGAACCCTGCACAGCAACAGAACAGAATATGCCAGGGAAACAGGTTAGAAGTTCATTTTCAGACCACAGGTCTCATTCCCCAAGGGAGGTACCATCACTCTGAGCCAGACATCCCATGCAGAAGGGCTGTGGGAGAGCACACAGCAAGCACTGACAGATGCCTCACGCCTTCACAAAAAGCAGTAGGAAAGCATGAGCTGAGCATCTTAGAGGTACTGACTGCTGCTGGGCTGCAGCAGGGTCCTGGCAGAAGTTCTTCAGCCACTCTTATCAGCCCATTTCCCACCCTTCCTTCTTCACTTCTAAGATCCCAGGAATCAACCCTACTGAGACTCCTCTACAAAAGGTATTTTGAATACAGCTTTGAGCTCAGTCCACTTCTGACATTCACAAAATAAATCATAGAGATGGAGACAGTGGTTGAGTGCTTCTGAAGCCCTGAGCACAACCTTTTCCATGTGCTGCTTGAGAAAGGAAAAGGAAAAACTATCACCTGCTGAAATATCACCTGAGACAGCTCACTGGGGATGCCTGCCTCAATCTGATAACAGGACCTCCTATACGCTACACAGTGCTGGCAGAGAAGCCTTATTATTGACAGGCACAAATAGCATGCTTGAGTTTTTGTTAATTGTTTATAGACTGAATAGCCAGCATTTCTTAAAGAAACAGAACAGAGATCTCAGGCTTCACAGTAAAACTTCATATACCTACCCTCTTTTCAATGGCTGCTCTTTCATTACTTCATAAAAGCTGACCTAGCGTGCCATTCTCCCAATAGCTTTAGCATGTAAAGTTGTTTTTTTTGTTTAGTTTAGGAAATGACTTTTCCTCAAAAAAAATGAATGAAATAGGAGCAAAAAGTGAAACAAGCTTAGTTTTTCAAACAGAAGCGAAGACTGTTTTAAACACTGACCTCTTCACCAGACAAACAGACAGAGCTGTATCAAAGACAAGCCATGCTATTTCACATCATCCTAGGAGTTAGCTCATAGGGTTTTTTTTGTTGTTGTTGTTTGTTTTGAAACAACTAGCTTCTTTTGGAAGTAAATATTAAAAACAAACAGAAAAGCCTCCACTTCTACAGAAACAATAACATATCCATACAAACCTGTGTTTCCTTGGATATCTTGTCCCTTGGTTAGTGCCAGGTAGGAGAGCAGAGCGCAGTTATTGTCCTGACCTGGCAGAGCTGGCTGCTGCAGAGAGGTGCCAGTGAAGACGACTCCCCAGTTTACATGGCTGTTATCAGAGCGTGAGCGGTTGTGTCCAGGCTTGAACGTGGAGGCTTCTTCATTCCGCACCAGGATGTCATTCACTGACCGAGGCCTGTCCCTCCTCCGCTGGCAGATGTTGAAGATGTTAAAAGCAGCAGTCTCTCCTTCCCCTGCCCAAGCAAGGTTGTCAGCAGCTGTTCCCCTCCGCACCACATGCTGATCTTTGGCAGAGAGTGCTGTCTGGGCTTTCGTTTCCAAGAGGCCATTTTTGCAGTGATCCCAAATGAGGCTACTTTTGGCTAAGGAGGCGACGTTCCTTAGATTCCTGCTCTCTGTTATCTGATGAAACACCTCATGCCCAACCAGCTCAGGCACCTCCTGGACACCAAATACCCCAGAGGGCTGCACAATCTTCTCAAGCTTAGTATCAAAACTATTGAAAAAGTCTTCAGTCACTTCCAAGGCAGGGCTAATATCATCAACTTCAAGAGCTTCCATGTCCTGTGCTGCCAGTGGGCCCAAAGGAAATGGGTGCTTCACATCTGCCCTTTGCACACCACTAACTCAGAGATGGTAGGACAAGTCCACACATCGACCACAATCCGTACTGGCAGAGAGGAACTCAACCAATCCCTTTCTTCAGATGCGAGACCGAACATTCATGACAAAGTTGGCTGTAGTCACTCTAGAAAGCACGCTCATAGTGATAACGGCTCACCTGCAAAGCAAAGCAAAGCATCGTGTCAGCATGGGCTTTTTCCCAGATAAATATGTTTATCTGCATCATTCTTTCCATAGTCACAGTGTGTTCTCTCTTCTTGGTCAGAGAGCAGGGTGGGCCACCAGATGAAGGGATACCACTTACTAACCTAATGTCAGTAGCATCCCTCTAATATGCCATGTATGGAACTTAGTACAGTTTCCCATCAGACTGCAAAGCAAGCCAACTGATCTCAATTACTTTTTTTCTCCTGGATTACTTGCATTCTTTGTCTTAGGACACTGACACTAGTTTGCAACAACTACTCTGCTGCTTGTCTGCATAAACAGAACTGTGATATTTAATAAATCAGTGTTAATAGGCTGCTGCAAAGCGACTGCTGCACATCTCTCTAGAGTATTGCTGGGAACCTGTGGGAAATAGTGTGGCAACCTAAATCCCAGAAAGGTAACACATCCTATGAGCAAAACAAAATATACCATAACCCATACTGTCATAAAGCTGCAGATCTTTATCTCCCAGCAGCTGGTTTGGAAAGTCTTAATAGAGAATTTAATAGCTTCCAGCTTTAAGGCTGGAAATACTGAAGAGGTGTATTGAGCTCACTTCAGGACGGAAGGGAGGGTTATTACACTCCCTGGGGTGCAATAAGGGGGTGTCTCATTGCCAAGCTCTGTCTCACCATGTCTGCTGCCTTCTAACCTCTACTTCTTGAAGCTCCATCCACGGTGCTGCAGTGTTTGAGGGACACGCAGGGAAGCTAGGTTCAAATAGGGAAAAATCAAGCATGCACGTTCTTGGGACCTAGAGACTGGGTGCCAGGAGTAAAGCAGCTCTCATAGCACTTGGAACAGGCACACGCAGGATGGCCAAAAGTCAAAGAGATCAGTTTTGGCCACATCAGTTCGAGGCCTAAAAGCAACAAAGCTGCATTAGCTCAGAGCTCTGTCTAGATTAATACACTCTTAGCAGAACTAATTAGCCTGGACAGGGCTGATAATTAGCAGCTCATTAGCTTGTGAATACTGCTAAGTGCCCCCAAGACCCACGAAGATTTACACTTAGCAGGAAAAAAACATCTATTAAACAGCATCAAACACACATCATGCTTATATTTAAAGTTTTTTTGGGTTTTGTTGTTTCCTGGTGTTTTTTTGTTTTTGTTTTTTGTTTTTAAATCAAGAACAGTCGACTTGCCTTCCCCTAACTTAAGTTCGCAAAGCCATTTAAATAGAGTCTCCTTCCTTAAGCCACAGGAAGGAAGGAGACCAGAACCCACCAAAGGGCACAGAGTCCTGGAGCACAAAACCTCCACAGGCACTCGCTGGCCTCCTCCCTCCCTCTGCTGTGGCCACAACGGTCCTGTGCTGGAAAGCAGCAGCTCAGCCTCCTGAGTCACAGATCAGCATTTCAGACCATCATCTCTCTAAGCACATTCCAATTAAAATAAACAAACAAATAAATAATAAACAAACAAACAAATAAATGACCACATACATAACTCTGGAAACTTCAGGGCTTTACACTGAGATCTTTCTCCCCCACCTTTTTGCAAGGATTCTCTTCACTTTTCTCACAGCAAACTAGGACTAAGACAAACTGAAGAATGAGACAGTAATGGAAGAGACAGAATCAAAACGGATTGCTGAACAAAACACATATAGAGTGGTTTCAAATCAGAACAGTATGGGAACACTCTTTGCAAAGCTTGCAATAGTACTTGTTGATGGCAGTGGGAAATGAAGCCACTCCAACCATATCCACGTCACCTTAAAGAAGCAAAGTTCACTCTCAAGGTCATTCTTGCCATTTACCCCTGAGCAACATTCTGCTCGTGGTGCCTCAGAGCTCCAGCAGGCTGAGCAACACAGTGTGTTTCAACCCATCCACTTATTCCACGTCCTCCCATGCTATATCTTTAAAGTAAGAATGGCATGTGGAAATTGCAAAACCGCAAAAGGCTTTCATTTGAACAAAAGCAGCACCAGCACAACCCCATGCCAAGAGAGCTGCAGGCTGACCACACAAAGGCACTACCTCCTGAAATGGCAGAGAACACAGCCCGGCTCTCACATAAGCACCAGAGCAGCAATCACTCTACAAGGGTTTGTGACATGCCACTGAAACACTGCAGAGGAAGAATTTCAGTGATAGCACATGCAGTTCTGTATTTTAAATCATCAAGAAAGGTGAAAAGGGACAGGAAAAAAAATGACACTTACATTAACAGGTTTGTTCTTAACTGCTGGAAGCTTTGCCTCACGTAGCTGCATGTTCCTCTGGATCCTAGAGACTGGAATTTCCAGTCATGCAGCCACGCAGAATGCTGTAGCTGACCTCATGTTCAGGGAGATGCTGAATCACAGGATCATGAGAAGGTGGCAGGCCCTGCATCATATGGCATGCAAAGGGCAACACTCATATCCCCTACCTTTGTTGATCAGTCCTGCTCAGTAGGTACAGGCAATGTGACCTCAGTGGCAGTGACAGGCAGATCACATCCTACTACACTAGAGCCTCCTCAGATCAGAGAAAGAGGTGCCATGCGTGCAGTGGCTCCCTCAGCACTGGGATTCAATGAATCTCCATAAGCACAAGCTGGCATCTTCTGACAGTGACATTCAGCAATGATTTCTTTCAGACTTTTAAAGGGATTTCGTGACAAATGAATGCAAGCTCTGATATGCCAGTAAACAGATCCATCTGAATCTCCTCCAGGAGAGAGAACAGTGGAAATTGCTCCTTTCACATAAGAGCAGAAAAGGAAAACAAAACATTAGGATGAACTCCTTTAAAATTACTATCACATGTATTGCCTCATGTATTGCTTCTCAGAAACATCTGAAATTTTCCAAGGACATTCAGCCTAGGATGGTGAACACAACGAAGAGGGATGCATCAGCCAGACTACTAAAAACTACCAAAGCTACAGGCAGCTGTAAGAAAGCCATCTTAACCAAAATTGGTGAAGGCAGTGCATTGTTCTTAGCAAAAACTGCTCAGCATCGGTTTGTAACAGTTGAAAAATAGCTACTGTGGATACAGCTTCTGCCCACAGATGTGCAACAGTCAGATAATGAATAATCACAACATGAGTTAAGTCTTTACTATCACGAGAGCATAACGTCCACATTACTCATAGAAGAGGCAAGCAGCAGTGACTGCAGGTCATGCCACACGAGATATAGAGTTTCCTTTTAGTTAGGGATACACAGGGCCTCAAGAAGCCACAAGGGCCAACCAAGCTGACAGAGCAACGTGGCCACAGAAGAAAGCCATGGATGACAAATGCCAGGGAATGTACGCTGGAACAGATATTCTCAATTCCTGATGTGCTTTTCTGGATCCCATCTTCCAGAAGAATATCTGGGTGCACACTGCAATTACTAGCAGGGAAGAGGCAAGGGCAGAAAGTAAACCTACAAGTGACAAACTTCCCTGACAGCACCCACTATGTACCCCCAGTTCAAGCATCATGACCAGGACTGCTCATTCCAGCTCGAGCAGGAGAGAAACAAGACTACAAAGATCTGTTTAGCTCTGTAATCCCCACAAGATATATATCAGACATCTTTCTGTTTTGTTGCCTAAGGAAAAAGGGTTTGTGCCACCATCCTGCCTATCTTTCAGTTGTTCTCCTTCCCTTTCTTTTGAATTATGCAGGAAATTCAACTAGATATGGCAGTAGCGTCTTTAAAGACACAGTTCTTGCATTTGTTAAATACTGGGTAGAAAACAGGAAAATTCAGCCTTTCTGCTAAAGGGGAGGCAAGCAAAACCAAGCCCATCTTCCTTTTCAGAAGTGCCACCACTCGAGTCTCTTCAAGCATGTTAGCATTAGATAGATGTGAAAACACCAGGAAGTAGAAAAGAAAGGAGACATGATTACACGATTTAGTAAGAAAGCAGCCAGGTTGATTTTGCTGCTCACAGGACCTCCTCAGAGAGCAGGTGATAGAGGCATATACATAAAGTGATGAGTTTCAGTTATACACGATAGATAAGTAAGGGTCTTCTCCTTTTTTTCTTGTATTTGGAGAGAGAATTGGAAAGGAACCATCAATGACATACACAAGCAAAATTTTCAGGAGGAAACACATAAACAAGAGGAGTGCCCAGCCAGACAAAAGATAGAAATACATAAGTAATATGGTTTCACTGATTCCTAATGACTCTTAGAGTCAAATTCTCTGGCAGAGAATTTGGTATTTCTGAAAATTGTCTCTCAAGACCACAAGAGGAGTTTCACAGGTTATCTGTCTGCAAAGAGAGTAGTTGTGCCTCAGTTCCTGGAAAGCTCACCCCATCCCTTCTCTGCACCTTGGAACCTGCTGAGGAAACAGGCTGCACTTACCACACGATGCATAGCAACTGTGGGCTGAAACCCTTCTGCATGCAAGAAAACAGAACAGAACATTATTTTGGAACATTTGGTAACACTTTGGTAGCAAAGCAGATTCATTAAGCCACTGTAATCTTTATCGCTTGCGTGCTGCAGATTTAGACCACTAACAAGCCCAACTCATGTCTCTAACAAGCTCAGTGTAACTAAGAGGTTATCTGAAGAAAAGATGGACATAAAACCACCTTGAGCAGAACCACTGGGGCTGGTGCAGCTGATATCCAATGAGTTTTTCTGTCAGTCAGACTGAGCAACCCCAGCCTGTAAACTCTCTTTGAGTGGCACCTTGAAAAATCACAGCCTACAGGCTCTGCTCTACAAGCTTTAGCTCTGAGGGTCCCATCAGCCAAGTACTGCACAGAATCTAAATGGGATGCACTTAGGTCAGTGACTGTCCTTGAAAACCAGTATGCTGTGCGGAATCCCTAATAAAAACATTAGGGAGCTACCTCTAAATTAAGAAGTTGTGTTGTATTTGTCAGGTGGCACACTTGAGTTGATAGAAGAGAGGATGATGACATACAGGTAGCTGCCGAAGTCTTTACCACCATTTTCATACTCTGCTGGCAAAATGAAGCTGAAAAATTGAGGCAGCAAAATGTAAGGTACTGCATAGTGCCATTCTTCCAGCATCTCCCTGCTATAACTAGACAGCAGATGATATTTTGTTTTCAGTATAGCAAGGCCTACTCAGCAAACACTCTCAATGTTCTGACCACCACTTTCTCATTCTCCCAGCCCAAGATAAGTGTTATCCCGAGTAATGTAGCACGCAAACTTACTAGATTCATTTAAATCTCTGAACTAAATGCCTCACAAAAAAATAAAAAAAAGATAAAACTACATTACTTTTTCATATGGAACAGGCAACTGGAGTTTGAAAGAGACTGCCATATGATATTCAACTGTCTTACATGACCTGAAGAATTGACTTTAAATGACATTTCTAAGGCACCTTTTGAAAAGTCTCTTCCCCCAGTATCCAACTGATTGATAAACTGCTTAAAATGTTCAGACAATTCTACTTTACGGTGTCATATGGAAGAACTTCTTGATTGATAATCAGGCACAAGCCATCGACGCTCAGAAGCAGCTTACAAAAACTGGAGATTCTTTCTGGTCAGGAATGCTTGCTTGTAGGGCCAGGCGCCCGAGAAGATAACTGAATGTAAGCGCAGCCATTTCTGTGGTGCAAAATCACCTGCTTGCTATGGCCTCCCTGAAGGGCAGCAATGAGATTTTCCTCACTAAAGGAAGAAAAAGAAAAATGGAAAAAGAGATAAAGGTGAGAAAACAGGGTGAAAGCAGAACGTCGCATTCTGTGAGGGGAAGCAGACATTTATGCGAGGGTACACAGGTATCACTCTGCGGAAGCACAGACTTCCTCAGCCACAGATCTGCCGCATTGCTTTACCAAAGCAACTTTTCTATGCATCCTCCGTCTGTGTGGCAAACTAACACACCACAGCTATAAATACCTCATCCAGCAATGAGCACACGTTAACGAATAATAAACAGTGCTTGCAATACACCTTTCATTTTAACTGTACTTTGAAAAAAGTAATCAAAATGAAATAAATCTAAGCTGAAGAGTGCACACCAGAACCAAGTGCAGAATATGCAAGCACTGTGCAAATCTCCACCTGCGCAGCAAGACACATGGCTGATCAGACATTCCATTGTGATGTACCAGCTTGTGTGCTGAGAGGAAACAGGACAACTAGTACATGACTAAGGACAGGAAACATTTTTAATACACTTTTCTGGTTAGCACAACTGAAATTGTGAGTATCTCTCCAGTCCATATGTTCTAGAAGAACTACACTGAAGACCCTGTTTGTCTTTTATGTATTTAACAGAGATCAGAAATGAAGGCATTTTCATTTTGTCCCCATGAGCTCTGAACAGAAATGAAAGGCATATGTCACTCCTAAGGATGTTGTTTTGTAGTACTCATTTCCAGAGGCTGCTGGAAATCAGGCTGCTGAGCTGTCAGCTGCTGTGTGTAGCAATGTTCTGCCCGGCGTGCCTCCCTTGCTGCCTGGAGGTGGCCATGTTTAAGTAATGAAGGACACATACAAGGGGGGCTGCCTGATAAAGATATTTATCTCCTTATAAGTAGGACAAGGGGACAATAAGAAGCTTTAGGACTTTTTTCAGATGAGGCACACTAGCTGGTATAAATAGTAATGCAGTAAGTGAATCCTTTGCCAACTATGCCAGCCTACACAATTAACTTTCAGTTAGCTCTGCAGAACAGTTTATCTGAGGTGCACCGAGCAGGGAGTAACGAGCATACCCCAGCTGAGCCAGCACAGGCCAGCATGCCCCACACCTGACAGTAACAGCTGCTACTGCCTGCAGGCAACGAGGGCCAGAAACATGGCATCTCCACAAAGAACATGGGAGACATTTCTTCTCTAAGCTTATAACAAGGCCAAAAGAAAATACAGACTTGAATTCCAAGACTTCTGAGCAGCCCCAATCTGCAAACACAATCAACTCCTTGCTGTGGTACCCAGGGAGCTCTGCTGGGACACTGCAAGGCAGACACAGGTCTTCCCTCAACTACTGGTGGCTGAATGTGGATGCTGATGGAACTACATTTCAACTTCATTTCTAACCTCAATCTAAGCCCTCTTCCTTATCTTTCAGATAGCAGGGACCACTATGGTTTGACGCATTTACCTCTAGGGACGAAGCGTAGGAGAAAGAGAGTTCAAAGGACTCCCGGAACAACAGCACAGTGACCCTGGTCCCAGCAGCCCTGCCCCAGCTACCAGCCCCCTCAGGCTCCTTCAGCACAGCTGCTGTCATCAGCTGACTCTTCCAGCACAGACACCTGCTGTTCTCTAATTCAAACTGTAACTTTATTACAAGATCTTTGCAGAAACCTATTAGAAACCTCAAAACATAATATCAAACTGCAACACTAACAACACGGTGGGCTACAGCTCTGCAGGAATGGTGCACCAACTACAGCTTGCCATGTTTTGTGTTTTAAATTTCTGATTCTTTAATCTCAGATTAACGCACATAATTTTTCCATGCAAGATGAACACACCATGTAAGCGATGAGATGAAAACTACTCGCTTTCAGTAGGTGTTGGTCCCACAGAGAGGCAGATACTTTTGTTCCTACATACAGCAACTTGTTGTAGTCACTCGGTAGGATGATGCAGCGCCTAAAATTAGACTCGTCTGTAAATCCTAACGGATCAGGGCAGTCAGCCCATATCTGCAGAGCAGAGAACAGATGAGGCACAAGCCACAGTTCCGTCTGCCAGGCTAAACCCACCCTTCTGCGGCACCCCAGGCCGGCCCGAGCCCACACGGCCGGTGCCCCCCGCGGTCTCGGCGCCGCCTTTGCCCGGGCGCCCGTTGCACAAAAGCTGCGGTTTCAGTGACGCACGAGAAGATCGCGGAACCGGTCGGAATGAAAACCGAGACGCTCGCCTAGAACTGCGGAGAGACGCAGGGCCGGAGCAATCCTGGGGATACGGCCCGCTGCCGAGTCCGTACCGTAGGCGCCGGCCGGCTGAGCGCGGGCCTCGCCCCCGCATCCCGGGGAAGGCGGCCCCGCGGAGCGCCCGACCCGCAGCGGACGCGCGAGGTTTACCTGGCCGCCGCGCCGCGAGGAAAGGGCTCCCGGCGGCCCGGGCCGGCCCGAGCGGAGAGGATCCGCCGGCGCGCAGCCACGGCCCGCACACGGCACGGCACGGCCCCTCTCGGCGCGGCCGCGTCCTGCCGCAATCCCGGCCCGGCCGCCGCGGGAAACGGCGCCGCGGCACCAAGGTTCCTGCCGCCGCCTTCGGGGCCGCCCGCGTCCGGCAAAGGGACGGCGAGCCTGGGGGCGGGGAGCGGCCGAGGCTCGCGCACCTGGGCGGCCACGAGGCAGGCGGCGGCGCGAGGAGCTCTGCGCCGGGTCGGTGCAGCGAGCGTCGTCTGCGGCAGCGGGGGCATCTCCGGTGCAACCCAGCACACGGGGAAAGCAAAGCTGCGAGGCCGTCGCAAACCCTTCGTTACATTAGAATGCAGCGCGGGACCCCACCCAAAAACACGGGATGCGCAAAAACAGCCCGCAGGCACACTTAACTGAGTGAAGCCCGGTAACCTCAGCCCCGTGCCCGATAGCACCCAGCAGTGTGACGCCGCAGGCTGTGCTCGTGGGCACGGGGCTGGCGAGGTAGTGCTGCACCAAGCTGCTGAACCGAACCCTTAACGGGGATCCTCAGCCAGCACTGTGAGGGGGGTCTGGTACCTTTCATAAGAGGACTGATAAGAAAGCAATGGGGAAACGTTGCTTTCTTGAGAATCATAGAGTAGAATCATAAAATCATTAAGGTTGGAAAAGACCTCTAAGATCACCTAGAGCAAACGTCCACCTACCATCAATACTGCCCACTAAAGTATGGCTCTCAGTGCCGCATCTCCAAAGTTCTTGAACAATTCCAGGGACGGTGACTCCACCAAACACAATCATAGAATGATTAAGGTTGGAAAAGATCTCTGAGATCACCTAATCCAAACATCTGTGCACATCTTTCTCACACTGGTCATAGGGACCAAACAATGATAACCATTACACCTGAAGGAGACGACTTCATCCCCTTACTAAACGACATTTTCACATCTCTGATTCCTCACGTGCTCCTCTGCCACAGCTTTCTACAACAGAGCCCTCCTGGGCAGGGAGCTCTGTTTCCTTTTTTTAATGCAACAGACATCCCACAGCCTGTGTGACACTGGGGAGAACAAATGGCCAGCCCTATCCTTTAAGGCTGCAGTGTGACAGGCTCCCATTCTCAAGAAATCTGAACCTTGGAAAATGTCCTTTTAACTTTACATACTGAAGAACATACATTTCAGATCACAGACTCATAGAATCATAAAAGCTGGAAAAGACCACTAAGGTCTAACCATCAACCTGCCACCTCTGTGTCCACAAATGTTGCTAGGATGCAGCACTTTTCACCCTTTAAAGATATTGCATGATAGGAGCCGCTGCAAGCTAAAGACCTGGCAGTGGTTGTTGTGTTGACATCCAGCTTGGTGTCTTCACTCAACAGCCATCAGCACACAGTCCAGTGCCTTTGGTGGTAAACCTCACAAGAAAACAAACTGTGTGCCCACCTGACGAAGACACACATGGGGTCATTTTCCCACTACCTGACCATCTATTAGACTTCAGAACCTCTAACAAAAGCTGAAGTCAATGCCAAAAGAAGAACACAGTTCTTTCAGCTAACTCTGAAAGTGTAACTCAGCTGCTGTCTTTCTGCAAGAGCTTGCAGGACTGAGTGCTCTTCTTTAATCTGAATGACTCCCACAAATACAGCAGAACTCTTCTCCAAACCCCGAATTGTTGGACTGTACACTACCAAGATTGGCTCCTTTTGACCACAGTCCAAGCATCTCTCTCTTTAAACGGGGAACTCTCTGGAACCCTTAGGGCCGGCACCACGTGCAAGGACGAATGCCAATTTACAAGACCCAGCAGCTCACACCGGCTGAGCGTTAGACCACCGCCTCTGAAGCAGAGCCTTTTTTCACACGTTTTAATTACGGACTCCCTAGGTGGAAGCTATTACCTCGCAGAAAGGCCGCTAACTGGCACGTTCAGTGCAAGATGAAACCTTTCCGATAATTGTTCCTTGAGTTCACGTTTGTGAAAATAAATATCATCAGATGATTAAATTAAACACCACAGCCAGCCCAGCAATACACCGTTCTCACTTATCATGCGGGAAGGAGATCAAAGAGAGCGGTTCAGGTAGAGCCGTTCCAGCTCGGGTTGGTAGCTGCCGATTGAACACACTAATTAGCCCCGCTCGGGGGGCGCAGCGCGGATTTAACCCTCCCGAAATCAGCCGGCACTGCCATTCTCGTGCTCCACGAGCACCCGGATGCGGAGGGACTCCGCGAAGCCCCGGCCCGACCTCAGCGTCTCTCGGGCTCCGTCCCCCGCAGCGCCCCCTCCGGCAGCCCCCACTCGGGAGGTGCTTTTGGGGCCCCGCGCTCCCGCCCGCCGTGCCGAGCCTTCCCCGGGCGGAGCGGGGCGAAGCCGCCCCCCGCCGGCCCCGAGAGCTCCGCTATTCTTCTGCTAATGGGATTGGCACCGCTTAAAGCGGTCTGCGAGGTTATTGTCTGCGGCCGCAGCAAGAGAAACATTATTCAAAGGCCATTCAGGCCCTAAAAGAAGCGGCAGAGCAGAGTAATTATCGGAGACTCTCCATTAACGAGGGCA